GGGGGGGACACAAAATCTCAAATGTCATCAAAATATTCCACATTAAGAAAGACAAAGAGATTAAAAATAAACACCACCATATATATATATATATATATATATATATATATATATATATATAAACGTGCACGTGATGATTTAAATATTTATTTATATGATGTAACAATAAAATTTAATTAATGAGAAATTTTTTATAATAATACAACAATCATCTAAATGCCGAAAAATATTATTACATATCATAATACATGAATTTAAAAGAAAAGGACATTATCAAAACTTACACAAAAGATCAATTTTGTGATGTTAGTTAATTATGTATTATAGTTTAAAAGTATTTAATGTGATGATATCTTAACGAACACTTCTTTGTGGACAATACTGTTTTGTGTATGTTTCCTCGTAATGCTTTGGTTACTCTGCCTTAACCAAAACTCTTGTTGTCGATCTTGATATCCCTCTTGAAAGTGCAACATACAATTGTTCGTGCAAGAAAACATATTGGGGTAAATATACTCCAATATTTAGGATGTTTTTTATTATATTTGCAAAACATAAACATGCTAAAAATTATTTTCACATAAATTTAAAAGGATATTCCTTAGTTTCGGAAGACGAAAGTTGAATTCAGGGATAAGAATACTTAGAAGAACATTGACTAGTATCATAATCTTTGCATGTATGACGTTATTGTCAAAATTTCTGTGTACCATCTGCGTGCTATTACATAAGCTATTCGGTGTATCTAAGTTTTTAGTAGCATGATGGACATATTTTTTTCAAAATTAACCTATATACAATGGAAGATCAATTTTAACATAGTCTATATATATATATANTATATATATATATATATATATATATATATATATATATATATATATACACTAACATACGTGTACACTAACATACGTAAGAAATAATAAACTTGACAACAAACATGTATTGTAGAAGGTCATTTGGTATTAAAATATTTAATTATTCTTCTTGGTAGTAATTATCGGTATCATTTTCTGCTGAGTCAAAAAGTGAAAAATATTTTATTTTTATTATTTTGCAATCAACCTTTTATTTAGTTGATCAACATATTCATTTTTGCTAGCGAAGATATCTTTTTTAATTCTATCATGTGTTTTGCACAAATTGCGTTTAATCTAATGATAGAAATATTTCTCTTATTAAATGCACTACTATACCATTGGGATTGATAACCAAGTGTTCAGAAAAAACTAACTCATCTTTTATTTGATGCTCTTCTTAGTTTTCGATACGAAGCAAGAAGACACTGAATACTGGATTTGTTCTTACTTTATATTTCTTGTCAATTGAATCTTTTTCATTTGAGGGCAGAAGTATAACTTTGGCAAACTAGCTTTTACAGTCTCTGCTTTTGTTGATTTTGGAACTACTGGTAGTACTTGACAGAAATCACCTCCCAAATCATTAATTTCCACCTAATGGTTCATTAATAAGAACTCCGGGCAATTATTTCGATCGTTTGACACTTTGTCATAAGTACTTCATCCTATATTATCAATTTTGCTTTCCTTATAATTTTAGCACCATTGCTCGCTTTGATATTTGTGATGGTTATTTAAGTTTTTTGAAGAGGTATATCAAATCTAAAGTGGGTGGCCTCATAATAAAATCGTTGTTGGCACACCACTTGCTATTATTGCCAACAGTGTCATGCCTCTTGATATGATATTTGCAAGTAATGCATGGTATAGAAATATTATTTCGGTTCCGCCGGAGGCATCTACAAAGAATAATTCCGTTATACCAGAGCCGACTCTTTAAAATATAGTTTTGAAAGCTTGTTCTTGATTAAGATTTAGCTTTTATTGTGCTTCCTCAGACACTTGTATAACATTTTGATTCTTAATAATATACTGACCTTTTTACTTTGTGTTGTAACGCTCTTTTTATGGAATGAATTTATGTATCTTAAGATTTTTTTTAACTTGAATAAGAAATTTACTCATATGATGAATTTAAAAAATAATTGAATTGGATTCTATACCATGCATTACTTGCAAATATCATATCAAGAGGCATTACTTGCAAAAAGAATAAATTATTTTTTATGTTAAAACAAAATAATTTATTCTATGTTGATTCAGATCTTAATATTAGTTTATCTCTTGTTTTGAATATTTAATCTTAATTATAATTTTATCCACTATAAGTTTTATTTTTAAAGAGTAAAAGATTGATATGACATTTTACATTTAGATCTTTATGTTTGTAGAATCATTAGTGGTATTGACTCCTACCAACCTTTTTTTTTCTCTTTCTCACACATTTATATTCTTAAATATGTTCTTAGTTGTTGTTAATAATTGGGCATTTTTCAATATACATGAAAAATTGATAAAAAAATATATTATTTGAGTAGAAAAATAGTTCAAATATAATATTAAAATATATTATCGTAGGGGTATTTTTTTATCAATTTCAATTTTTAACTCTTTATGCAGTCCATTTAATATTATTTTTACTTTTTTTGGTATTGGACATTATGGAGTGATAATGTATTGCCTATACAGATGATTCTTATGAAATTGATTTTATTAAATCTTCCTACATATTTTTAATAAGAATTTAATATACAAAATTTTATTAATTTCAAAATCTTAAATATTAAAATTAGCAAAGAAGGTATTGTAGTCCAAAAGATAGGTTGTTGCAGTTATGTCCTTTCCCTATGAGTTCTTCCGCTTACTATTTCAGGGCTATTTCTGTATATTAATATTGTATTTATGCTTTTATAATAATATAGGCTCTCCTTTTTCTAAATGAATTTGGATAATATATACATTCTCAAATTAAATTAGTAATAGGACATTATATTACGTTTTCAGATTAAATTAATTATAGAAATTTTTAAGAAGTATATCCTAAAAGTAATAGGATTACATGACTAAAGATATTTTCTTGTTCAATTTTATATGAATTAGACAGTTCGAAAGTAATTATACTAATAAGATTCCTAAAGGTAATCAAGTAGGATTCCTAACGTGTAGTATTATGTACTAAAACTAATAGGATTATAAGGCTAATATCTAGAATACCGATTATGTCCTTTTATTATGAGTTATTATATTTAATAGTATAAGGTTATTTTATAAACCAACATTGTATTCATGCTTTTATAATATATATATGCTTAAATTTCAATGCAAAACAATTATAAATTCTTAGAGCTTTTAAAATAAAATTTACATATTTAAAAACTACATAAAAAGTGACATGCAGTACTTAGTAATTAAAAATATTTAAAATGTAGTTGCAAAAATTGCGTGACCAAATGTCATGAGTTCAAGCAACATAAACAACCTCTTGCAAAAGTGTAAAGTGAGACTGGGCACATAAGACTTAATGGACTTCGACGCTTCCCCGGATTCCGCACATTGCAGTGCTTAGTACATCAAGTGCCTCTTTTTTATTTTAAAAATATTGTGATCAGAGAAGAATCTTTTTATTTTTTAAAACAGTAATAGTGACATATATTATAGAATATAAGGAATATGATATATTTACCAGAGTGTAAAAGTTGCGAAGATCATCCCCTCCAATATGAACCCTAGGTTGCGTAACAATTTGAGAAGGTTTCAAGCCACATGCATTGTTGACTTCCCTATCATTGTAAACCACTCTAAGGTCAACAGACCTTGTGAATGGATCTAATACATCACCTATCACACCGCCAACTATCAAAGGATCTATTCTTGGCATGATGATTGAAGATGTAATATATTATCACTATACACTAAAATACTTTACTTTTCTCTTTCAAAGTTATTGCAATTCGTGATCAGAGGGAGGAGCTAGCTATGGCTATTTATATGAGCAGTATTGTTGATATTGTGTGGTGCCTATATGCTTAATTGGTTTTTCACTATGCCAAGAATCCTACCTTTTCATGGTATTCTCTTACTAGAAAACCCTATTCTCAGTTGATGCCGTTCTTTGTAAGATAATGAACTGAGGAGAATATGCATCTCAAGTCCAGGTGACAAATGTGTGGGTTGGATGTATATCAAAAGCGGGTCATGATCCAGCCCCTCAAAATATTCTTGAGTCAAAATGATCAAATTAAATAAGGGGTCATAAATCAACTCACCCAACATGACCCAACTGCCTCTCTTTTTTAATTTTTCTTTTGAAAAAGAAATGTAGAAGATGATGTGATTTTCTTGAAGTACTAGCTTAAGCGACTGTTTGGAAAGTCACCTTGAAATTGGATTTAGGTGATTGGGTGTAATTACACAGTTTGTCATATTTGTTTGATCAAGTAATTACTTGGTCAGCATGAAATTGGGTGTAATCGGACGGGTGTAATTACACTCTCCAATTCTCAACGGGGAAGGATGTGAGAATTGGTGGTAATTACACTGTATAATTACAAGGTTGCCTTTTAGTTTCTTTCCTTTTTATTTTATTTATAACTTTATTTCTATTTTTTTAGTTTTTTTTTGAAATTTTAAAATATATTTTTCTTTGTATATTATTTATCTTTTATTTCTCTTCCTTTACTTCTTGTGGTCCCATGTAATTGCTTATATTTTATTTATTATTTATTTTATTATTATAATTTTTTAAACTACACCTCCTAATATTAAAATAATGAATCATTAACAAACTTGGCATATAATGAGTGATTCAATTAAAGTAAAATTTTGTTGTTAAATATGATTATAAATTTATTATGTTTCCTAATCTTAAGTTGTAGTGGAACTTACTATTATTATGTTGGAATTTGACATATGTTAAACTTTTTTTTTTTTTAAATAGTGCTATATTCATGGTTCCAATTTACTTGTTTTAGTAGTATTAGCTCACATTGCATATTGTTCATTTTTTAGTTAGAATTGATAGATTAGTTTTGTCAAACATTTGAATAATGTTATGACATTATACTTATATATATTAATTTATTTTACCAAACATGAATTCCATGATGTTCTTACAAAACATATGTGGTTTTCTAATTATCTAAACTAAATATTATTAATTTAGAATATATATATATATATATATATATATATAAATATTATTATTTACAATTATTAATTATAAATATATGATTACTAATTAAAGTATATTCACGAAAAAATATACATCTTAAATAGAAAATATAATATCATTTACACTTCTAAAAATTTATAGGCATATATTTATTATATTAACTTTTAAGTTTTGATAATTACTTCATTTAAAATTTAATCTAACTGTGTAATTATACTTGTGCAACCAAACAGTAAACTTGTAATTACACTAGGACAAATAAACAAGTCGTCGTAATTACACAACTGTATAATTACTAGGTATTGTAATTACTACCATAGTAATTACACCAATTGGCCTGATGACTTTCCAAAGAGAAGTTTTTCCAAGTTAGCGTAATTCTTAGTCTCCAAATTTGATTTTGTGCTAATCATGACTCCTTTTGACCCAACACTTTGATTAGTCATTTGGGAAAATGTATAAGTATCCCCTGACCTATACACGGATTCCCAACTATACACTTTTTTTTTGCGGGAATCCTATTACCCCCTAAACTTTTTTTAAATGGAATTATTTGCACCCTTAACACTGACAACCAAACTCTTACAAGTGGTGAACTACACGCGCCCCCACATGTATTTTCAGTACTTTTTTTATTCTTTCTTCTTTTTCTTATCCTTTTTTCTTATTTCTTATTATTCTCATTTTTTTTGGTTATTTCATGCTCTTTCTTTTTGTTTTGGTCACCGGCGGCATAAAATGGTGGTCGTCGGAATTTTACGAACACCATTTTTTCTAGCGTCTTTTTTTTCCGGCGATAAATTTTTATCCTGATCTAAGTGTGTTTTGTTTTATATATATATAAATTTTTCTTGAAAGTATAATTTATGTGTGGGAGGAAGAGCAAAAGAAATAAAAATGAATATNTATATATATATATATATATATATATATATATATATATATATAATGTGTGGGAGGAAGAGCAAAAGAAATAACAACGAATATAAGCTGAGAAGACTTTTTCTAGTTAAAATTTTAATACATCATTTTTTTTCTAGCATGGGAAGATTTTTCGATGATGAATTTTTTCCCCCAAATCTGAGTATATTTTGCTTTGCTTATGAATAGATCTTTTTGAGAGTTTAATTTGTGTGTGAAAAGAAAAAATGGAAGAAAAACGGTTAGACAAAGTCGCTGGTAAATGAATATCCGCCAGAGTTAGAGAAGAAACGAAAAAAAAAGTAAAAGAAAAAATACAAAGAAAAAGGAAAAGGAAAAGGAAAAGGAAACAAAAAAGTAAGAAAAAATGGTAAAAAAGAATAAAGAATAATCTGAAAATCATTTTTTCTTGCTTCTCACTTTCCTTTGGGAGAGTGAAATCACACACTCTGTGACATCAGCGTTAAAGGTGCAAATAATTCCATTTAAAAAAATTAGGGGGGTAATAGGATTCCCGCAAAGAAAAAGTGTGTAGTTGGGAATCCGGGTATAGGTTAGGGGGGTACTTATGCATTTTCCCTAGTCATTTCGGATTCAAATTGTGTTATAAACCAATCTGTTTAAACTCACTGAATTGAACAGGTTACTAAAAGAGGGGTTACTTTTACCACCTCTAGTTTATATAATATAGGTACGAATTAAAGGATCAGACGATGAGTATGTTTATTCAACATTTAGGAGCAAGGATTAGATAAGAAGCTGCTGAAGGAAGATCCCAACTTCTATACTACCCAATCAGACCCTCAATCCATGGAAGAATCATCGAAAATTGAACTCACAGACTAAGAAAGGACCAACTCAATCGTAGCATTGATAAACCTAAGGAAGCTATAGATAAATGTAAAGAAAACAACACTCAACCTCTCAACCCACTCACAAGCAAGGTAAGTTTTCGTGACACACTTTTCCACCCCCTCCTCCCCAAATCACCCCCAGCCTAGAAGTTGAATTCTTGAAAAAACTAATCATAGATGATGAAAACTAAAACCCCTCTAATCATCCTTTTTTTATCCCAATTTTCTCAAATGATAAACTAAGGCTTTACAGCCCTTGGCACCAAGCCATTATTATTAAACTCTTAGGAAAAAAAATATCTTACACAAATCTCAAACTTAAACTAAGCTCACTCCGGCAACTAGATGAAACCCTTCAATTAATAGATTTAGGATATGAATATTATTTTATCAAATTGCAGAGCATTGAAAATTTTAATAAAATTCTCCAAAATGGACCTTGGTTCAACCTCACTATACGACAATGGGAACCCAAATTCAATCCAGTCCTAGCTCACACAAACTATGCAACTGTGTGGATCCGTCTACAGGAATTACCCGCTGAATACTATGATATGCAAATCCTCAAAAAAAATTGCTGCTTTTATGGGAACGCTCATAAAAATTGACACATGCACAGTTCATACATCCAGAGGCCGTTATGCCAGACTTTGTATTTTAGCACCACTAGGCAAAACCCTCACACCCGAAATTCTCCTTTGTACACACACTCAATCAATTTACTATGAAGACTCATCTATAATCTGTACCAAATGTGGATTTTTAGGGCATAACCTCCACTATTGTCCAATTTTTTTAACCCCCTCCACTTCGAAACAAACGGAAGAAAACCCAAACACACCCTCTAGTGAAGATGGCCAACATAGCTAATGGAAAACAGTTACCTATGCAAAGAACAAAAAATTTGCTAACATTAAGGACAAACAGTCTACCCAAACCACCTTCCAAAACCAAAACCACCCTCAACAACCTAACCCCCTACTAAAAACCCTACGAACCCACTGACCCCACATGGCTCCACAAAACCAACCAATAATATTACACTACAAAACCAATTTGAACTGCCAATTCATATCCCTATACCGGACCTACCCCATACAAAAAAAAATACCATACATGACAACCCTATACCACCTATAACACAATCAATTGAAACCCTACCCCAAACATGTCCAAACCACCATCATCACCCTTCGAATTCCCATCACCCACGCCTACTTTTAACCTAGGAGAGCAAAATCATCACTTTAGATCACCATCTCTACACCCTCTAATTCGCAAAACAATGTCCAAGCGCTCACTTCCAAAACACAATACCAACAAAAAACTAACAAGAATAGCCAATTATCATGACTCCTATTCTCAACTTCCGAATTCAAACATGCATGTGCATGAACACTGTTCACAAAAGGCCAAAGAAACCCTTGATACAACTATATCACTACAAACAATCATAACTACTACAACACTCACACCCCAAATCACACAAACTATATCTCAATCATCACCTCAACTATCACATACTTCTGCCTCACCATCATTCATCCTAAAGAAACCCCATCCAATACTACTCCCAATCCTTTAACTCCATTACCACACGGCAAGCCATTGCATGAGAACTTGCCAAATCCCTCAACCAATAACAATCGCCTTTACTCACTACCAATCACTAAAAATCCATCCATCTCAACCCTAAAGGATTATTCAAATACCCCCCTAATAAATCAATCCATTACCATAACTCAAGAACCAACTTCTAATACCTACTCCACAGCAAATAACCACCATGTATCATTCAAACAATCACAGGAACCATCACCAACAATACAGGCACCGGAGGTACATCAATAATATCCAGATCAATTACTACCACCACCACCTCCTCCTCCCCCCTCCTCCACCCCCTCCTCCCCACCTCACTTAATCATCCAGCACCAACCCAACCATGCACAACAGAGGCCACACTACACCCCAGACTCCCACTCATACACCAACATCCAACTATTCCTCCACAACAAATACCACCACCACACCAGCTTCCACCAATAGACCTACAACTACTACAAAACCATGTCACGCTCTTTTTGGAAACATCAGAGGAGATGGCCTTCTCAGTGCAAGAGGGAATTCCAAACCAAGCACAATAAGATCAAGTCTTGAACCTGATCCATTAGCAAAATATCACCCTTTGAAAAATGCAGGAAATCATCAATCAATATCAACAATGGCAAGCACAGGCACTTCATCACCCCACCTTCTGGAATACACCCCCACAGATCAACTCCTCGCCATGGTTACTCCCTCAACAACCAGTGGAAACTGTTCAGCCTCCAGTGTCAGCACAGATGCAACAACAGGTGATCGACAACCACATTACTAACTCTCCAGCTGCTTCTCCATAGCAGGAGAATCAACATCAAGAAGATGAAGGCAACGACTTGCTGGAGACCTTCATGAAATCAATGATTTTGAACGACTTTCTGACGACCTCCATGTCAGAAAATACAGAAAAAATACCTCATTTTCATCCCTCCAAACCTCCAGAAAACTTCCTTGAACATACGCCTAGACCCCTTATCCTTGGGAGAGAAATATGTGATTCTCATGATCCCAACCCTACAAGACAATCTCTTACCAGCAACTCTTTACAATCCTCCACACCTACTAATGCATTTGGAACTTTCTTTGGCTCCGGAAAGGAGCATTCCACATCATGAAGATTTAATGAAGATAATGCTTTGGAATTGCCGGGGAACTCACAATCAAGAATTCCGCCAGAATCTCAGATTCTTGCTTACGTGGAATCCTTCCATCCTATGCCTTACAGAAACAAAGATGACAGACCACACCGATCTCCTCATGGAATTCAACTATACTGACTTAATCCAAGTTGCAGCACAAGGTCATTCAGGAGGAATTGTACTCTTATGGCGAGCCCATGATTTGGTTGTCAACCCAGTAGCATTCACCAGCCAAGAGATACATGCTTCTGTCGAGGTCAATGATCCAGGAACCCAACATCCAACAAGTTAGGCATTTTGATGCCATTTGGCATCAATACTGTCATGATTCTGTATATTGAAGAAACCCCCCCTTACTTTCATGCATTTAGATTTTGATGTAATTGGTACTAGCAACTTACATTTCAATCACCCCTTGTAATCTCGTACTTAACTTTATCAATGCAATCCTCCGTTTCAAAAAAAAAATTAAAAAAAAACATTTATAAGTAGTCATTACAAACCAGCAAAGTCATTCTCGACTTGCTATAGTCATTACATTCTTCTATCACTATACCTATACTATATGCAGTACACAAAGTTTCTATAGCTAACATTGCCTTTTGGTCTTTTGTCGTTGTTTTTCTTTGTCTTTAGAATTGAAGCTGCTGCATCTTTGTTCTCGTTGTCCCTTGCGCTCTAATGTTGCATATGCATTCCACTTCTCTAGCTATTTGTTCTTCATTCCTTGATTGTTCTTCAAAAATTCTGTTGTTCCTCTCTATCATCTTCAATATTCTTGCTTTGCACCACTTTCCTTTGGATTGTAAAATCAACCATGTAACCACCTGTGACCAAGAGTTCACTGGAGCATCCCATATTTGTAGCCATCTCAGTAATCTCCACCATACTCTTCTAGAGAAGCTGCATTTACCAAACAGATGCAGATGTGATTCATCTGCACTACAACATAAACTGCATCGTGGACTTACTTGGATTCCCCATTTAATTAATCTATCTGCTGTTAACAGTCTTCCGTGGCATTGGATCCATATTGTGAATACTGCTTTAGGTCTAGCTTGATTATGAAACATCAAAGATCTCCATTCCACTTTGTTGTGACTTCCCAGTAGGCCTAGGTAAATCTGTTTAACTACACTTTGTCTTTGCTTTACTTCTGGCATTTGTTGCATTATCTTCCTAGCCTCCATGATTTTCCTCACCATCCAACTTGCCTGTTGAGGGATATTCATTTCCAGCATACTTTGTCCCTTGATGTAGTATGTAAAAATGGACATGTCCATTTTCTCAATGATTGTTGAAGATGTAGGTTACATACGCCTTTAATACATATATTTTGTTTTTGGATATTAATATAAGAGGTAGGAGTCCGGTCTAACCCCTACCTTAATAGTGGCTTTACTGGGGAAAAAAACATTAAAGTTTGAACCACCTAAGATAAAACCAACCGAATCTTTTTCGAAAAGACCGATTACGCGTATTCCTTGTCCTAAAGAGTTCATATGATCACATATATTATTAATAAACGGATAAGGAGTCATATTGCAGTGAGGAAAAGTTTTATGGTGTGCTCGCCCAACTGACATTAGTTGTGTGAGACTTCTTTTTATCTAATAAATTTGTGGACACATATCATACACTTTTATGTCTACAAAATACTGGATCCACAAAATTATGAGATAAAAAAGAAGTCTCATACAACTAGCATCAGTTGTGTGAGGCACAAAATAAAATTATTCGTGAAATGAGATAGTATTAGTCAATGGACGAAGAAAAGGTAGAAAAAGGAAAAGATCCACTTCCATAAATCCAGCAAACATTGAATATGTTATGAATAATAAAAGAAGAAGAAGAGTATTGCGGAGAAAAGTAGGGAGAGAGAATTCTTATTGATTTTGGGATGAATTACAATGGAATAGAACCCTCTATTTATAGGGAGAGAGTGACTTAGCCACCAAGTAATAAACCCTAGAATCTTTCTAAATATAGACATTCACCATAAATAAAATTCTATTTATCACACTCCCCCTGAATGTCTATTCAACAGATAATGTGCCTCGTTAAAATCTTAACTAAAAGAAAACCCAATGGGAAAAAAAATTCTAGAAAAGGAAAAAGAGTACACATGTTTAGAAGTGCGCCTATTGGTTGCCTCGTTAAAAACCTTGCAAGGAAAACCCAGTGGGACAAAACCTGATGAGAGCATCAATTCACATCCTTGAGCCTTCGCATCCCGATCTTGTACACTAGCTTCTTGAAGGTTGACGTTGGTAGAGATTTTGTGAACAAATCAGCCATATTATCACTTGAACGAATCTGTTGCAAATTGATATCACCATTCTTTTGAAAATCATGTGTGAAAAATAACTTTGGTGAAATGTGCTTTGTCTTTCTAGGACTTAATAGGAGCATTTGCAATGAGAATATAATTACTTTCTTTGGGTTATGTGACGACCCGACCCATCGTCACGTGAGTTACCGCCCCGTTGTCCCCATATTATGTTCCCCTGCATTTCAGTATTGGTATTTGAGGTGATCGGATGGAATTGGATTGGTTTTAGTTGGAAATGAGGCACTTAGCCACTTAGAAGGAAGCTTGTTTTGAAAAAGTCAACCGGAAGTTGACTATGTAGTTAGAGGACTCGGATGTGAATTCCGATGATTCGGTTAGCTTCGGGGGATGATTTGTGACGTAGGAGTGTGATCGGAATTGAATTTGGAGGTCCGGTGTAAAATTAGGCTTGAATTGGCGAATGATGAATTTTGGCGAATTCCGGTTGGTAGGTGCGATTTTGATCTGGGGGTCGAAATAGAATTTCGAGAGTTGCAGTAGCTTCGTTAGGTGATTTTGGATGTGCGGGTAAAATTTCAGGTCATTTGGACGTCGTTTGGTTGGGTTTTTGATCGAATGTGAGTTTCGGAAGTTTTTAAGAAACTTAGGCTTGAATCCGATGTGATTTAATGGTTTTAGCGTTGTTTGACGTGTTTTGAGGATTGGAACAAGTTTGAATAAGGTTTTAGGATGGTTTGGTGCTTTTGGTTGAGGTCCCGGGGGCCTCGGGGGTGAATTTGAGTGGTTAAACGAGAGTTTTTGAAGTTGTAGCAGGTCTGCAAATTGCTGTCATCTGGTATTTTCGCTTCTGCGAAAATGGACCGCAGAAGCGGTTCCGCAGAAGCGGGTATAAGGGCGCAGAAGCGATTTTGGTGCTTGAGTGAAGAGTTTCGCATAAGCGGACCCTTTCCGCATCAGCGGGTCCGCAGGAGCGCATTTTTAGCCGCAGAAGCAGTCTTGGGAGATCCGCAAAAGCGGATAGTGAATCGCAAAAGCGGAAGCTGTGTAATTAATGAAAAACCGCATAAGCGGTCATTTGGCCGCAGAAGCGGTCCCGCATAAGCGGTAGCGGGACCGCAGAAGCGAAAAAGGACTGTTGGCAGAAGGTTTAAAGGGGGTTTAATTCATTCGCGAGCTCCACCATGTTTCCTCCATTGTTGAGCGAGCTTGGGAGCTATTGACGCGATTTTTAGAGGATTTTGACGGGGAAGTAATTGGAGGTAAGTCCTATGGTCTAGAAATATCATTTATTTGAAGAATCTACTTTTAATTCTTGGAAAAATTGGGAAAAATTGGAAGAACTAGGGCTTATATTTTGGAATGAAAAAAATTGGGATTTGGAGGGGCATTTGAACTCCGATTTTGATGAATTTGATATGTATGGACTCGTGGCGAGACGAGGAATCCGGTGATGTAAATTTTGTAATTTTTCGAGAAGTGGGCCCGGGGCTCGGGTTTTGCCAACTTCGTGATTTTGGTTGTTTTTCGAGTCTTTTCGATTGGGTTACGATTTGTTAGCCTATTGTGACGTATCCTTTGTGGTTTTGGTCAGATCCTACGCGCGAGGAGGTCGATTCGAGAGGGAAAGGCTTGGCGAGCTAGGTTATCGGCCGGCTAGAGGTGAGTAATGACTTTAAATGATGTTCTGAGGGTTTGAAACCCCGGATTTGCACAACTTGGTGCTATGTTGAGTTGAGACCCGCGTTCCATGACGAGCGCGGGGTCATTTAATATTGGGGACTGTGACTTGGTCCAGTCCGGATGATATTTTACCGCGTATTAGCAATGACTTGTTGTTTTCACCATGATTTGGGCTTATTGCCATATTTGGGGCTTATTGCCGACTGTTTGAACCCTTTATGAACTATCATCACTGTTTTCCTCACTGCTAGAAATATTATTTGAACTCAGTCCATGTGATTTACACTGTTTCTTGAACTCAGCCATATTTACTCAACATGGAGTTTTAAACTGATATTTGAACTATTGTTTGAGCTGAGTATTATTGCTTTACTGTTGCCCGAGGGGCTGTTGACTATTTCTGGACTGATTAAGGCCGAGGGCCTTGTGTGAGGGCATGATGAGTGAGGTGAGGAGGCTTTCAGGACTCGTATTGATACTGTTCAGGCTTTCAGGCCTTGTTGATAGCGCTTGGGTTGTAGGAGCCCATCCGGAGTCTGCACACCCACAGTGAGCGCGGGTACCCATCTAGAGTGATTTAATATTGAACAGTGGTAACAATGACACTGTTAAATGTGATTGGTCAGGTAACAATGACTGACCAGTCAGGTAACTATGATTGACAACAATGACACTGGAGTATGCATTGGTCAGGTAACAATGGCTGACCGGTCAGGTAACAATGGCTGACTTACTGATTGAGTATAATTGATGTTTAACTGTTTTCAAAAAGGTTTTTCTTATTATTTTTCACTGGTTTCTACTATTATTCTGAAGTTGCTGCTTGAGATAGCATTATTTGTGCCCTTGTGGGATTTTATGTTCTCAGTCGTTATTTATTTTTATTGCTCACTGGGTCGGAGTACTCACATTACTTCCTGCACCATGTGTGCAGAGACAGGCACCGCTGAGTTCGTACCTGAGCGCTGATTTCCTTCCAGACCAGGCGGACCGGGAGAGACGAGGTAGCTGTCGACGTCCACAGCCCTGTTTCTTCCCTATCTTCTGCATATTTTATTCATCTTCAGACTATGTTTTCCAGACTTGTAGTATACTTTTCATCAACTCTGTAGCAGCTCGTGACTTGTGACACCCCGATCATCGGGCTGAGTTTGGGATGGTTGTTTCCCGTTATGTTACGTTTATTTCCGCATGTGTGATTAATCAGTATTTATGGATTAAACCTGTTTATGCTAAGAAAATGTTAAAAGCAAATGTTGATTGTTTCTGTTGGCTGGCCTTGTCTTCACGAGAGGCGCCATCACGACCGGGTGGGAATTGGGTCGTGACAGGTCAGCAAATGCGTCTGGCATGCTTTGCAATATATTGCAAATGAATTATCCTTTTATGAACTTCAAGTTCATATTATCTTATTCGAGGATCTAGATGTACAAATGATAATTCATTCCACGTAACTTTTTCTCAACTGTTTATCATGTCTCCCCCTTATGTTAGAAAAACTAACTTGTTTCCTCAACTTTGAGAACCCATCTTTGTGCGTTATGGTATTAATCAAAATATACCCCGCACATCAATAATAATAAGATGGAATTATTTGGTTCCTGACTCTGAACCACTTGTGAGGGGAGAAAATAATATACTTTGGAATATAAGGTATATCAAACTGATATAGATAACTTTGTTCTCATAAGTAATTGTTTAGCTATTAAGTAGATGCACTTAATAATTTATTTTGCCAAACCAACTGTGATGTAAACCAACTTATCAAGATGAACTTCTTGAATAGAAGATCTAGAAATTATGCTCGAAATTAAATTATTGAGCAAGTTACCTCGCAAAATACCATGTTGCGGGCTAATAACAATCGCACATGTAACCATCTCATAGATGCATCTTATGTGGTATACATGGCAGGTGAACGGGCCCATATTCACCTTTGATATTTCCAGCATTCATGGGATTCAATCCCAATTTTAGTTGATCTATTAATTAATGAGCACAAGCAATGTAAGAGAATTCGTAAAGAATTTTCTAGTTCTTTAATATTTACCCATGTGAATTCTCTTTTATTTTTGCACATCATGCTTAAATTGATATGGCTAAGCTAATTATGCCAACTGGATAAATTATCAACATTGATAAAGTTCATGTTTACACCATGACGTGTGCAATTATCAATAAACTCCAAGTTTATTATGATATGGGTTTTAATATCAATAAACATCCACTTTATTGTGGTATTCTTTTATTTGTGTAGTACAAACTGGAGAATAAAGCGGGTAGCTTTTCACATACATATTACCCCGCTAT